AGATATCTAAGATTCTAAAGTGCTCAACACAAACCAGGATGCAGAAGTTCACTGATAGATCTTGGCATCTGTGTGTTTGGCAGGACGGAGTTCCAGTAAAGTTGAGGTGCTGGTTGAGCAGCATGGTTTGCCAGTGCGACCGCTGCTAGCTGCAACATTAATTCGAACTCTAATTAAAATCAAATCTCACAAAGTGTAATTAATTAGTGGACGACACTTAAGTACGTACTAAATAAAATCGAAGAGAAGTATAGGAACACAAAACTTTCGTTTATATAGAGTACAATGAGAGAGAATGGAAAAGTTAATCAAATTGCAGAGCTTACAGTGAGAATAGCAAAGATGAGTGGGAGATGAAACCCCATTAGGACTGAAATTAACTTGGCAACAGATGTAGCTAGTGGATATGAAGCAAGAAATTAAAGAAAGTCGGAGCTGGCTCTTATGGTAACAATAGCAACTGGCTTCACCATTTTATAGACGAATGATGAGGCGTACCCAGAAGTAACACTCCACCGACCAATATAGAGCTTAATTACTTCCCACTGCCTCACTCACTTAAATTCATTTGAGGCAAGTGGCACTGTGGCATGACGTGACGTATCAGACGTAATTGTGAATATACAATTGTGGCATGTGGAAGAAATGTACCGGAGGTCGGCTGGATGGTCCATAAAATATGTGGTTAATAATAATGGACCACTTAGATTTGAGAGGGGGTCAGAGCCCACTAGGAGCAATTAATAATTGGCCTGAGAATGGGTGGATGTGTATTGCAACATGAGTTTTAGGTGCATCGTTCAGTATTGAAGATTTACACAATAGGTTTTCAATCGAGAGGGGTGGAGAGCCCCCTAGGAACAATAATTTTAGGACCACATGTCATGAAAACAAAAAAAATATGTCCCAATATATATATTTAGAGGGTACAAATTCAACGTAACTTATGGAAGTTCATCTTTTGTCGAGGTTTAACATTAAAGTTTCAACTTTTTACACTTCACAGAGATAGAGGTAAAGTGATCTAGTCTTTTGAGAAGAACTATAGTCTTTGCGAGAGTAGAGAAATAGGTTTTGTAAACTCATGACATGAGTAATCTGTATTAGTGAGTGGTGGAGAGACTGGAAGAAAAAATGATAAAAACTTCCAATCTCTAACAATTTCTATGTGTTATGAAATTAGTGTTGGCATTTTCTAGATACTAGCATAAACTCCAGTATATGTTAGCATAGCTTATAAACGTGCTTTGAGAGAGCCTAGGGGCAGAATTGACATTGGCAGGATTGATGCAGCTCAGCAATCCCCAAAACACAGACTTGTGGCTGTGGTTAATAATAATGGACCACTTAAATTTGAGAGGGGGTCGAGGGCCCACTAGGAGCAATAATTGGCCTGGGAATGGGTGGATGTGTATTGCAACATGAGTTTTAGGTGCATCGTTCAGGATTGAAGATTTACACAATAGGTTTTCAATCGAGAGGGGTGGAGAGCCCGCTAGGAACAATAATTTTAGGACCACATGTCATGAAAACAAAAAAAATATGTCCCTATATATTTAGAGGGTACAAATTCAATGTAACTGATGGAAGTTCATCTTTTGTCGAGGTTTGACATTAAAGTTTCAACTTTTTACACTTCACAGAGATAGAGGTAAAGTGATCTAGTCTTTTGAGAAGAACTATAGTCTTTGCGAGAGTAGAGAAATAGGTTTTGTAAACTCATGACATGAGTAATCTGTATTAGTGAGTGGTGTAGAGACTAGAAGAAAAAATGATAAAAACTTCCAATCTCTAACAATTTCTATGTGTTATGAAATTAGTGTTGGCATTTTCTAGATACTAGCATAAACTCCAGTATATGTTAGCATAGCTTATAAACGTGCTTTGAGAGAGCCTAGGGGCAGAATTGACATTGGCAGGATTGATGCAGCTCAGCAATCCCCAAAACACAGACTTGTGGTTTTGACCCGTGAAAGGCATTTGTGTGAAGACCCGTATTTTAAAATAGATAAAAATATATATTGGTTATATTTATATGTGTAATTATCTTGGTACGTATATGTAAATATTGTTGTTATACTTTTATATTAATTATTATGAATCCTATTATAATAATACTTATATATTTCTATGTTTATGATAATATTTAGTTATATCAATCTACTGTGGTAAAGTCTCATGTCCCTACTGAGCAGTGGTTGCTTATCCCTCACCCTGTTTAATTTTTCAGATGAATTAGTGGGCAAGACAAGGACTAAACCAATTGAGGCTGAATTAGATAAGAATGATAGAGCTTTATTTATTTATTGTAAAGTTGTAAGATTTTGGAGTTATTTTTATAAGAGAAGTTTATTTAGGGGTAAGTGATGTCATTATCATGCATGTATATTAGGGAATTGTTTTAAAGAACGATTCAATCACGTTTTACTGTTTTTAAAAGTGAATTGAAGTTTATTTAAGACTGTTTTCTTTTTAGGCAATTTTGGTCCAAATCAATTTGTTTCTCCTATTACTTTCATGTTTTAACATCCCCTTAATTTTCTAACGTGGAAATCATGTTTCAATCATATCCCAATATTAAGGAGTCAAGATACCCTTAATAGTTGACTAGGCGTATAAGAATTCATTTGATATTGATATTGGTCAAAATCTTCCTTTCTTAAATATCTCATTTCCTATTGGTTGGACTACATGTGACCAATCTCTAGAATAGGAAAGATACTTTTGTGATTTTCTGTCAAGCCTTGGAAATTGGAGATTTTGTTTTCAACGTGTTTTCTTTCTTGTAAAGAAAAAGTCTATAAAATAAGACCTTCGTCTTCTTTGTTTAGAGAGCTTTAACGATCATATTTTCAATTCATAAACTTTGGAAAGCTGAGTTTTTATTTTAGATATATCATCAAGTGTTCCATAACTTGGTGATTTATCAAACACTTTTATCATTCATACTATATTCATTTGCATGTTCAGTGACTCATACAGTTGAGGGCAAGATGTCAAATAGACCAAGTTTGATAACCACTTTTAGAATATAAGGGTTCAGTGACTCATATTATAAGGATTCAGTTTGATAACCATTTCAATTTACCAACTTGGTCTGTTTGATAACCACTTGGTCAAATTTACCAAGTTTGATAACCACTTTTATCAAAACCCATTTATAAACACACCCAAAAAATATTTTCTTTGTAATATAAGGGTCTTTTTGTTCTTTACCACTTCATCTACAAGTCACTTGCAATGAGATCTTATCTTACTGACATGAAAATCTTGTCGATTTTGTCGATTTTGAAGTTGGGTGTTAAGGTTGGTCGGAGATCAAGAGAGGGTTGTGATGGTGGTGGAGTTCGAATCTAGGGCAAGATGTTGCGACGAGTTCGATGTTCTTTATCATTGAATCTGCACCAACAAAAAAAATAAACTAAAAAATTTAATTTAAAACAAAAAACAAAAAACAAAAGCAATAGAGAGATTAAGCTAAAGAATTTATGAATATAGTGTTGGATGCTATGTGGAAGATCAATGAGAAGATGGCTAAGATGGTTGTTAGGTTGTATATTGAACTTGGGATGGTGGAGAAATTGGAGGAGCTACTTGTAGATTTAATGGAGACCAATTAAGTCTCAGAAGTTTTGTTGTTGGGGGTGGCTGTGGGTAAGGATTAATGATGGATGGGGGTAGGGGAGGATGGGTATAAACAAGATTTTAGTTTCTTATGTTTCGTTTGTTTCTGTATGTTTTGACTGGAAGCATGAGATCTAAAACGGAGGATATAAATTCTTGATGTCACATCTCAAGATCGGTTCTACCGTAGCACGATATTGTCCGCTTTAGGCCCCCTCTCTGCCCTCACAATTTTGTTTATGGGAATTCACGAGCAATTTCCCAATAGGTCACCCATCCTGGGATTGCTCTAGCTCCAACTAGCTTAACTTCGAAATTTCTATGACTCTGAAGCTAGTGAGCTCCCAGAAGGCCTCGTGCTAGATGTAGGCGGGCATGTACATATAAGGCACATCACCCATTTTTCGTTGGTCAATGTGGGATATTACAATTCACCCCTCTCAAGGGTCTGACGTCCTCGTCGGCACACTCGCACCATGCGGCAGAATGGCTCTGATACTCGATTCCGCCGTAGCACGATATTGGCCGCTTTGGACCCCCCTCTCTGCCCTCACGGTTTTGTTTCTGGGAACTCACAAGTAACTTCCCAGTGAGTCACCCATCCTAGGATTGCTCTAGCCCCAACTCGCTTAACTTCGGAGTTCCTATAACCTCCGAAGCCAGTGAGCTCCAAAAAGTCCTCGTGCTAGATGAAGGTTGGTATGTACATATAAGGCACATCATGACAGGACCCGCCCTGAATTTCCCAGAACCCGAGACGAACCCTGTGGAAACCCCCCACATCACCCCGATGTCGGGGCCACTTCCGAAAACTATAACCTCCTTTTTCAAAAAAGAAGTAGGGGCACGAGACTTTCTGCATAAAATTCGACAGAGCCTCCCTTATAAATTGAACGTTCCCCAAATGTTCAACCTGCATGAAACACATTTGATTTAATCCAACCAACAACACGCACAAGATAATTTCATGCAATTCACACAATCGGCCTCCGGCCTTCAAATACTTCAAAACAAACTACCAACACATTCCTTAAGCCAAAAATATAATCAAACGCACTTAAGTAAGCCAAAAATAATTTATATCATTTAACTTTCCCAAACATTTAGCATACGAGGCTCCAACCTCCTAACACGACTGCATCATACTTTCACCCAAATTTCGGGACCGACGACAAGGTCCGAACCAATCTCAACAAAGTACCTAACTAAATCTAATCCGCGGCTATACCTAGGCATTATCACAGGCTGCCTACGTACCCTACTAAGGGATCAAGCCACATGTAATTCTTTCCAAAACCCTTTTTCTTTTATTCACAACTCACCAAGTATCCACCAAATCTCCCCATACGCCGGAACATCCAAGGTCACGTATAGGGTCTGTCTGCACGCCGAATAATCCTATGACACGTGGGACCTCATCATCGTATCACAATATCCCCCATATGCCGGTACTACTACCAACGCCGCATATGGGGTCTGTCAACACGCCGGCTACTCCAACAACACGTGCAACCTCAACACAATCACAAATCTCCCCTCATACGTCGGGACACACCCGGCCAAATATGGGGTCTGTCAACACGCCGGCTACTCCTACGACACGTGCGACCTCAACACAATATCACATATCTTCCCTCATACGTCGGGACGCACCCGACCACGTATGGGGTCTGTCAACACGTCGGCTACTCCTACGACACGTGTGACCTCAACACAATCACAAGGTAGTACTTACACAGTATCATCGCTATTCAGGGAGGTACATAGGGTAATGCGTATAGCACTTCAAACTGACATTCTAAACTCTTTTTATACATCTGTACACACATAATTTTATACATTAATTTATAATAATATAAACACCTTAACAATCAACTAGCATCCGATAATCCCCCATAACCCATATAACATCAAGACCTGTCACTACGGTCATTTTAATCTTCCTGGGAAGGTAGAACTATCTCCAATGTCTCACAATCAACCCAAGGTCAAACTATCCAAACTTGGTCAAACGGGCCTGCAGGGCCTACGACTTCCAAATTCCGATCTGACAATTTCTATGAGTGCTACATGGTTTAGGACACACGTCCTGCAAGTTTGGTCTAGATCGGACGATCGGACGGTTACTAAAACCCTAGCCCTAGGGTTGGCATTTTCGGAGTATCCGGGATTCCGTTTTACGATCCGTCGAATCCTACACGATTCTAAGGATGTCTAGATTAACATATAATAAATTCAGGACCATCCAACGGTCCAAACCTATCGAACCCGTTCGGGACTCTTAACGATATCCAAATTGGGATCCGAGCACACCTACGCGCTCGTGACAACCTGAGGATCCCATTGGGACAAAAATGCCCCTTAGCTACCGTGCCCACGAACCGCCACACGCGCCGACATCGCGTGGGTGTCCAAAGCGATTACCCTTCGTCAGAAAATCTCCAAATCTCGGCTCAAGACTTCTACCCTAGGTGAAACACTATATTTGGAGTCACTTTTGTTCTTGGGCATACCCCAAAAACTGACCGGAAGTGGCCGAAATCTCCCCACGAAATCTGGCCGAAATCCAATTCGTAAATCGAGTTGCCTACGCTACAAATTGATCAATTCCTACCCAACAGGCAGCTAGATCTCAGAAAATAGGTGAGAAACCATACCTTGATCGCAAGATTTGGTAGCCGGAATCGCCGGAACGAGCTCCGGAAAATCTGGGTAAAAAACCGGCCGTTTTTCTGAAATTTCCGGCCATCGTGGTGGCTGCCGGCGTCCGGGATGGCACGGGATGGAAAGAGGAGAAGCTGGCGGTCCTTTTGGGACCAGTCCCGCCCCAATTGGTGGCCGGACGTGGCGGTGGCAGCCGGTGGAACTCACGGCTACTACAGTAACCGAAGGGGGTTTTCGCGACAGAGGAGAGAGAGAGCGCCGGAGGACAGAGAGAGAGAAAGAAGGGCAGTTCTGACTTTTTATCAAAAATCCCTTTTCCAAATAATTACGATAGTGCCACTGAGTTTCATTCGATCGTTACTCTCTTGTTACAACTCCGATTTGAGCCCACTTAGTGTCTACGGACTCATCTCACTGTGCTCTACGCAACAGTACAGTCGGAATTTCTAAATTCCTTCCGAATAAAAAAAGTCCAAATTACCCCTATCCCAAGGGTAAATTCGTAATTTCACTCAAATTAATTAAAACATGGGATAAATTTGGAGTCGGGGTGTTACACATCACCCGCTCTCTGTTGATCGATGTGGGATGTTACACTTGAGATAAATATATACATCACGAACTTAAACCTCATGAAAAATGGAGTAAAAATCTAGTCTGTTTTCACCTTAGGTCTACGTATCATATGCATATATGTATATATATATGCTCATATTTTTTCCCCCAAAAATAAAACAAACAAACTTTTTCGAAATTTGTACATTTTGATTGAAAGAATATGAATTTATGTTCTTCACCACTTGAGATACAAGTCCCTTGCAATAAGATGTTATCGATATGAAAATCTTTTAGAGAGAGAGAGGAGAATAGGGAGTAATCCCTGTGCAATTGGATTGTATGACTGCAATGTGTGGATCTTCTCAACCCATCTATTGTAAGAGAACCAAAAGCTATCAAAGATGATAAATTTGTACTCTAAGGACATGCAAAAGTAGCTGGAGGGCCTTGCATCGACCGGGTAAACATGCGTGAGGATATCCAAGTTTTGCTAAAGCTAAGAAAGTGATATTGGGAAGCTTAAGTGATGAGCCCCAAGAAGCAATGCGAGAAAACCCAAAAGAGGAGATCTAGAGGGCCAAACTAAAGTCTCCTACTGTGGATCAAGAAGCGCGCCATAATGTTGTTAATTTTATTTTATTTTTCAACTTGTATGTGCTTAGCTTTTGTATGTTTTTAAATTAATTAATAATGATTGTTGTATGTCCTTAGCTTTTGTATGCTTTAATTAAGTAATAAAGAATGTTTTGGTTAATTAGTTTAGTTTTTGTGTGTGTTAGTTTTTTTTGTTATTATACTTAGCTAGTCTGGTTTTTGTGTTAATTTTCTTCACATTTTTCGTCAAGCAATCTTTGTAGATTGGTTAATAATAATATAGTGTATTCTAGATTTGTCTAAAAGAATTTGTGAGATTTTATACGTTGACTCCCGAAGAGGAAATTCCTGGATCCGCCACTGATCAGAACAACACATAATGGGGAGGAAGAAAGTGGAAGAAAGCAGCAATGAAGCTTCTTTTGACATAGAAAACCAAGCAACTTCCATGGAAAATCAGTTGACAAACTTGCGTGCCCTGTCCCCTGCTTGTTGTATCTACAGGGTGCCTGAGCGACTACGGAACGTTAAACAAAAGGCCTACACAGCACAAGTAGTCTCAATAGGCCCACTTCACCATGGCAGCAAAAACTTAGAAGCCATGGAAGATCACAAACTCAGGTACCTAAAGTGTTTTCTTGATCGGACTAATGTAAAATTGAAGGATTATTTCGAGAAAATAAAGGAGAGAGAAGTTGAACTCCGTCATTATTATGAAGACACTAAGAAGTTTAACATTGCTGCTTTTGTGAATATCATTCTAGTTGATGCCGCCTTTGTCATTGAGCTATTGTTGAGGAATAAATCCGAAGAAAAATTTCGGGAAGAAAAATTGTGGGATGATAATGCTTGGATATTTAAAAAACCATGGGTGCTACAAAAGATATTGCCTAACATGCTTATGCTCGAAAATCAGCTGCCATTTTTCATTCTCGAGGATCTTTACAATCACACAGGTGCTCAGACTGGGGAGCCTTCAATAATTGAACTCTCTTACAGGTTCTTCCAACAGGCACTGCTTTTAGAAAACTTGGAGAACTCACCAGCCTTCCGTAAGTCTATTATGCCTCCTGATCCTAAAAAACCTTTACATTTTGTTGATTTTATTAGAACTTTACATCTACCAGATCCAACCCTAAAAGAAAATGTAGGGCTCCAAAGTACACCCAGCATGACAATACTACGCCAGGCCGGAGTTAAGTTTAACGTGGGATCAAGCAAGAACTTATTCGATATACAGTTCAAGAAAAACACCTTGGAAATTCCAAAAATTGAAATACATGATTACACTTAGAAATCTCATTGCCTTTGAACAATGCCATTGCGTGGATAAATACATAAGCGATTATGTTTTCATCCTGGATAAATTTGTAAACACCCCAAAGGATGTAGAGTTGCTTGTTGAGAATAGAATTGTTGTAAACACGCTAGGTGACAACAATAAGGTTTCCATTATGATTAACAAGCTTTGCAGTAAAGTTGCTCCGAACCACGGAAACTACTATTTTGGTGATCTTGCTGGCAAACTAAACAAGTACTGCGAGAAGACCACGAACATATGGAAGGCAAATTTGAGACAAAAGTATTTCAACACACCTTGGGCAGCTATTTCTCTCTTTGCAGCTATTATTCTTCTGATACTCACTGTCATACAAACAGTGTGCTCTATTATCTCTGTTATTGATCAAGTATTAGCAGTAAGTCTCTCCGTAGCCATTTTCTCCCTATCTTGTTTTTTGTTTTTCGTGTTTTGTTTTGTTTTCAAGTATGTAAAAGAGTGGATCAGGGCTAGATTCATGTTGGTGTGTTGTAGAAGAAGTTTGTAACCCTGTTGCTAATAAGAGCTGTACTATTATTATTATTATTTTCCCTTCTAAAGCGAAATTTTTTGAGAAACCCAAAAGAAACAAGCAGCTTTCAAAAACACCCGAAGTATTTTCAAAATGGCACGAAAGCCCCTTATCTTAAATATCTAAGACATCCAAGTCCTAGGTCTCTCTCCTCCACAAAAGACGAAAGCAACATGTGAAGTCCTTGTCCTTTTTCCAGCAGCAGCGCAGTAACAGTAGCAGCAACACAGTAACAGTGTCAGCAGTAGCAACAGTGCAGCAGCCCATATTTTAAAGCCTTGTCTGTTTATACATGTATCTGAAATAGACATTTGAATTCGCTGGATTGTTGTGTAGAAGCATCATCATCATCATTTCACGTGAAGAGATCATCCCAGCAACAGTAGCATGCATCTGTCCAAAACTTTATTGGAATATGGGTCGGCCCCAACCCTTTATTGGATCCTGGTTGATGTGGGGACAATACTATGCTTGGACCACTGTCATGTGGCAGGTGGTCAATACTCATAAAATTATGTAGTATTTTTTTTTTAATAAATTATTTTTGTAGATTTACTGTTTTTTTTTGGAGTTATTTAGTCATATACTCATTCTTAACATTAATAATATAGATAGATCTTACACTATTTAATTTCTATAAACAAATCCAAAAAATGGCAACTAGCCTATATTGAATTTAATTTTGATTATTAGATTACTTTGATACCTATTGAGTGTTTTGAGTTTTTTTATTTATGAGGTTTTGGGGTTGAGTTTGTTTTAAGAAATCGATGGCAGTTTTGTAATTTATAGGAAGTTCAAAGTCTTTTTGTTATGTTGTAAATAGGATTTGAATGTGTTTCTAAAGTCCATTTCATATAGATTTTTTTTAATAATTTGAGCCCCTATATTTGGTATAATAGTGAATCTCTCAAAGAAGTATTGGTTAATTCTCTTGCTTTGCTTCAATTTTAAGTAGAGCAATTTATTCTTTTATTGAGGCTTCCAATTTTTATATTGAATATATTTTGCCTCCAACCTGTCGTCCTTTAGATTTCATGGTGGATCATCAAGCTCCTGTACACCCAAAACAATGTAGCAACACAGCTAATTGCCAAACCAAAGCAGAAAATTTATCTCTATGTCACATAGACTATGTGCATACGTACCTAAGTAATACTACATTTTCCTAATCTCTGGTAGATAATTTGCTTTCAGTTATCTGTTTTTGCATGGTTCAACAATAAGTTGCTAAAATTAGAAGTTCCCATATAGGTCGCAATGATTGTGATAAATAATCAAAATCTCTAGTAGCTAGATATATTGACTTTATCGCGCGGATATTTGGATGAGACGATAAATCAAACTCATTTTTCTCGTGAATTATTAATTTATCATTTATATACACATAATTATATCACGAGAAAACAAACAAAAAGATGTAATTATAAAATTGTAAACTATGGGTAAAAAGACCTGTAAATCTCGATATAGTGCTCTCATCCCTCTTCGTCTCTCACCTCATCCTCTTCATCCACCATTGAAGATTTTCTGGAGAAGCTTGCTCTCTCAAAGTAACCATCCACTCTCTAACGGCCGATCCTTCTTTATTTTGTCACTCAACCTCTCAAATATTTTACTTCTGACCTGCGGTTGGTTTGTTAGTTTGTTGCTGGTGATATTTGTAGGTAAGCTTCATATTTCTTGAAAAATTTACATTTTACTTACTGTTAAAATTTCGAGACCGTAATTAAAGAATCGCAGTTTTCAATTAAATTACTTATGTTTTAGATTTATGCTTTTTTTACATTCTAGCTGCCGATATAGAAGGATATTTTTTGTGAGCCAACACATTTTTAAGCTTTTTAGAATTCTTAAATTTTGTGTGAAAATGTCCTAAAATTGGTGGAGTTGCTTTTATCTATGGTTTTCTTTTCTTTTTAGTAACATTTAGCTAGAGCGCTTGTTTTAGATGTGTCTTATAGAATAGCACAATTTGCGATTTGGAATCGTGGTCAGTCAAAGATAAGTTAGGATCCTATCTTATACAAGATCAAACTTTGTACTGGTGTGCACCATTTGTGTATGTAGCGAGGAAGAGGGTAGAATGTAGATAGAAGATATTAATTCAATCATTGAACTTCTTCCTATATATAGCCCATCATTGAGCTTTTCATTTCCATAACAAAAAGAAGAAGAAGAAAAAACCATTGAACCGACTTGCTCTTTTTTGCATAGCAGGTGCGAATTCCCTTCCTTTTTTTGTTTTTTAATTATTATTGTTTTTTCAATTGATAGCATTTTCTTGAAGATTTTAGTTTCTTATGTTTCAATGGTAGTTGGGGATCCCGAGCCTCTGCATTAAGACACTACGCATTTATCTGCATTTCGCTAAATCTAGGCCATTATAATAATCTAACCCTTTGGAACATGACACATCGTCAAGTTTTTTTTCTTCTCTAAACAAACGTTAACTATTGTTGTTAAACAAGATTTTAGTCAGTCACAAATAATAATCTAACCCATTATACTTTACACAGAACAAAGAAAAAAAAATAAAAAACATGCTCTAAACAAGAGTTTAGTTACCCACAAATAAAACTTAACTCTTCTAGTGAAGGAAAAAAAAAACTTGATGATGTGTCACATTCTAAGGAGTTAGATTATTATAATGGTCTAAATTTAGCGAAATACGGGTAAATGTGTAGTCTCTAAGTGCAGAGGCTCATGATCCGGTAGTTGGACATTTGAATTGATCAATGTTGTAACTTTATTCTTTTTTTGTTGTTGATATTCTTTTCTTTAAAGGGAAGCATGAGATCTAAAATGGAGGTATAACAGTTTAATTCTTGTGATATAATATTTATTAGATCTAATGTCAACCATATATAATTGTCAATTCATTTTTCATTATTCGTGTTTTTTTTTTCTTCTCATCTCCATTTTCTTTTGTATTCTTCTTCTTTATTTCCTCTTCATCTTCTTACTTCATGTGAACCGTGCACGGTGGTGCACATGTCTTCTTGTGTTCAAATATACACGAGTGTAGGTATGTTATAAATATGTTGTGCGTATATGAATGTTCCCATGGTACGGTTTAGTTCCTATTGTTAAGGTAATTAATGAAATATATAACCTTGAACACGTGTTTATTATGGTGCCAATAATACCCTCATCACTTACAAAGAACAACACAGAATAGAAGTGGAAGGATGCAGCAATGGAGCTCCACATGGCGTAGAAAACCACAAAACCCCAGTAGCAGATTTGAAGCGGCGGTTGGATAGTTTGTCTCGCCGGTCCTCTGATGAGTGCTGTATCTACAGGGTTCCTTTGCGACTACGGGGCAGAAATAACGCTTACACCCCGGAAATATTCTTTTCTTTAAAGGGAAGCATGAGATCTAAAATGGAGGTATAACAGTTTAATTCTTGTGATATAATATTTATTAGATCTAATGTCAACCATATATAATTGTCAATTCATTTTTCATTATTCGTGTTTTTTTTTTCTTCTCATCTCCATTTTCTTTTGTATTCTTCTTCTTTATTTCCTCTTCATCTTCTTACTTCATGTGAACCGTGCACGGTGGTGCACATGTCTTCTTGTGTTCAAATATACACGAGTGTAGGTATGTTATAAATATGTTGTGCGTATATGAATGTTCCCATGGTACGGTTTAGTACCTATTGTGAAGGTAATTAATGAAATATATAACCTTGAACACGTGTTTATTATGGTGCCAATAATACCCTCATCACTTACAATCAGAACAACACATAATAGAAGTGGAAGGATGCAGCAATGGAGCTCCACATGGCGTAGAAAACCACAAAACCCCAGTAGCAGATTTGAAGCGGCGGTTGGGTAGTTTGTCTCGCCGGTCCTCTGATGAGTGCTGTATCTACAGGGTTCCTTTGCGTCTACGGGGCAGAAATAACGCTTACACCCCGGAAGTAGTCTCAATAGGCCCAATTCACCATGACAACAAAGAATTAGAAGCCATGGAAGAGTACAAACAGAGGTACCTACAAAATTTTCTTCATCGGAATAATAAGGTTAGCTTGGAGGATTATGTAGAGAAAATAAAGGCCCAAGAAGATAAACTCCGTGGTTGTTATGGAAACGCTCAGCACTTCAAGAGTAGTGACAAGTTTGTAAGTATCATTCTAGTTGATGCCGCCTTTGTCATTGAGCTATTGTTGAGGATCTTTTAAAGAATTGCGAGATGATAATGACTGGATATTTAAAAAACCATGGATGTTAACAAATATAGTGCCCGACATGCTTTTGCTCGAAAATCAGCTGCCATTTTTCATTCTTGAGGATCTTTTCGTCGCAAGCAAAGTCAGAGTTAAGAATTCTGAGACTGAGAGGCCTTCAATGATTAAGCTCTCTTACCATTTCTTGAAAAAGGTAGTGGGTTTACAGAGGTCGGAAGACGAATTGGAGTGGACTGAACCACCTTTACATTTTGTTGATTTTATTAGAACTTTACATGTGCAATATTTGGATACCGGTACCTCAGAAGCTGAAGAAC